AGCGTTTGTACGAAGTTCGCCCGTTCGCGCGTCCAGCGTGAAAAGATCTTTATATCGAGGCGGAACTTGGAGAGAGTAGACCACTTCACCGTTTGTACCAATGTCTTTATCTGTCGCAGTAACATTCAGCACAAACGTTCCTACACGAGAATTCTCTCTAACCTCGCCGACATAGCGATCTTTGCTGAATTTGGGAAAGTGATCGTTCGAATCTAGAACTGTGATACTCAAACCTTTGCGTCCAACCCTTGGTGGGCTACCCCCATCTCTCGCCTCGATCACCAAATAGTAGCTGTCGTTTATTTCGCGGTCCAGCCTTTTCGACACGACAAGTTTGACTTGAAATATTTCCGAAGTAGGGCGCGATACTTTTAAGTCAAACACCCCACCGTCATTCCTGTCAACAATCTCGTAACTTTGAACAGAATTGTTACCAATGTCCGAATCTTCCGCCACCGTTATTGGCAACTCTGCACCTAGCGCAGATTCTTTAACAGAAATATTCTCAATATCCTCCTTAAAAATGGGACTGTTATCATTTATGTCTAGAATCTTGATCTCCGTCGGTATAGCCGCTTTCATAACTCCTTTCGAGACTTGAACTAAGATTTGAAATGTGTCGCGAACAAGTCCAAGGGACACGTTTTCACGGTCTATCTTCGCGGCAGTCCGTATAACACCAGTGCTTTCGTCGATACCAAAAGACGTTTGCAGTGATCCTTGGAACTCGTATCGAAGCTCTCCCTTAATATTGTCATTTGTGGCCATTGCTTTGACTATGGAACTCTCTGAAATGTCTCCTACAAAAGTGTCAGCTTCTAGTTCTTCGAAAACTTGAAATTTCATAACGTCCGAGGCCTTGCAAAATGTGAGTAGCGATACCAGCCACAGTAGCATTCGCGCCATGACGCTCGCCAGCTAAGTGGGGCTAAATTTCGAACGCTCGGTGATTAAATAGCAAAATGAATAATGACGCCGATACGACCGACAAAACACCGCGTAATCCTTCCACGTAAAAATGTGAACTATGCGGAGTGAATAAAGATGTTGCCTGGAGCACAGAGCGTGGTACGGAAAAGATCGTGCGCCAATTTGGCGGTTGTATATATTTCAGGCACTTGACTTCACACTTCTCAATGTTCGCCCGTTGTTACTATTTTTTTTTTCCTCGCACTAAACCTGCTTCCCATTATATGAGTCCATACAAAGAGATTGCCAAATCCAAGCCGGCTGTGCAGTCAAGGATTCGTATCCCTTCATCGCAATGCACCTACTACAGGTAACGATAAGAGGTTTATTCACTCTTTTCCTGTGTCGTTGACAAGGTGTTGACCAGTCAATCATCAAACAATTCCCCTGGGGGAATTTTAACACAATTAAGGCGGACAATGAATGTCACACAACGGAAGCAGGTTGAACAAATTTGTAAACAAGTTCTCCACTAAGTAAAATGACTAAATAGCACGTCAAACATTCGAAAATGGAGCGGATTTATTTAGTGTTCCGTGCGTTAAAAGCTTCCTCTCGTGTTTTTTTTTTTTTGTTTTGTACGGGTATTTTTGATATGCAACATCGAAACACCCAAGTACGTAAACACGAATAATCATTCCTGATCATATTCAATATCATATCTTTATGACCACGAAGAATGCTTCATTGTTGTTTGGTTAAAAAATACATAGGCTGATAAACTGTATCAAAAAAATGAGATCATGAAAGTTACATTCTTTTGTTGGATTTCATGTTCGTTGTAAAATAAAATCAAATTAATTACCGATAAGAAAGAACCCAGTAAACAGGCAGCAGAAGAATGACGCTTTTAAATTATTTCTATCGTGAATAAATCAGGATCGGCTTGCAAGGTCAAAAAGGGCCGCATAATCAAAGTTTAATAGTTTCAACAAACGGAGGAAACTGTCAACTCTTTAGCGGCGCATTCAAGCGTTACGAGAAACACCTCCCCCAGTGACAGACTTGTAGACAGGCTACGAACCCGAGGGAGGCTAAGACGGGGTAGGGGTTGAATACGACCAGGGTAGCGTCCGGTTTCTTGCGGCAATTTGACTTTGAAAATCCACGATGAAGAGGTAAAAATAACACTCTTGAGACTGAATGAAGAGATCTTGAGTCTACTTAACGATTTTCCTTCCAGCAGATAACATCTTATTGAAAAAGTCGCGTTCCGTTTACTGTCTAGTCGTGCGTTGTTTATCGTTTTAACTCCGTGTGGTCCGGCCTGCTGCAGAGTGGCGTTAATTCAAAACAGCTGGTGATTATTTTGAAACGGCGGGAGTACTGATTATAATTGAGATACCCTTTTTTAAACGACAGACCTTGATGCTATCGCACAGCTTGTCTACCAACCTTGAAATTGGACAGAGGCGCGAAGTACAGCTCGAGCAAATAAAGAGGGAAGATCCCTTTTCTTTCACGCTGACTCTATTCCGTATTTAGTTGTTTCTTTGGTCTTATTTTCATCATACAAGGCCCATGATACATTTTCAACACTTAAAACAAGACGTGCTTTTTAGGCTAAACAACAGACCGCTTTCTTTTCCAAACGCGCCGCACGGGGATCCCCGTCCAACCCTTTTATCCGATTCCAACTTGTTTCTTCTCTGCTTCAAATTCCAATGAGAAGAGAGATGCCCGGAACAACGTTAGTGTAGAATGAGGAGAATACAGAGGCGAATGAAGATCAATAAGTGCTGACTGAGAAAACAGACCGCTCTTTTCAGGAATTTGCCTTCAGTGCTCCTGTCTTTTCAACAAAGAGTATACCGATTACAACCGCTCAAACCTTGAGTGATAAAAGTTATTGGCTTTATATAAGACAGAGATATGTTTACTTTGGCTGCTAATGAAAGATTCAGTCTGGGCAGGGGTGAAAGAGGGGAGCGGCAGATGCCACTCATTCTCCAAAGTCTTAAAGGGGCGCTTCCACGGCGATTTTGCTTCATTTTTTTCAAGAGTGCTAAAATCATGATTAGCACCTTCGCTCGAACACGGGACGTTCTTAGAACACCGAGAAAATGTTCGTACTCTTTTGAACTTTTAAAATCCCACGACGGCTTTCCATGACCTTTCCAAATTTCCAATGAACTATGTTAAGCACTGTTGCTCTCAAAGCGTTGTCAAAATAGTCTATTATTTATGATATTTTCCCACATCATGAGGTATAAAACGTGTGCTAGTGTTATTTTTTTTTATTTTTTTTTTTACTGGAATTAAATCCGGTTTTTTGACTTGCCTGTTATTTTTCAGCTTTTGATCTTTTTGCTTTTCATTCTCAGAAATGTGTGCTATTCTATGACTTTCCATGACTCACACTTCAATTTCATGACTTTCTAGGCCTGGAAAATAAACTTCTAGAATTCCATGACTTCATGTTTTCCATGACCCGTGCGAAACCCACCGGGGGAGGGTTCTCCACAAAGTTTAATTAAGGGTGGCTCCGCCCCGAGGTCCAACCCCTGACCTTTTTGTATACTATTTTGACAGAAAAGGCATCCCTTTCACATACTTTCATAACTGGCCCATATTATGTATAAATCGCCATATTATGAATAAATTGCTTGTCATTTTCATGTACTACTTAATAAATTAAATGATCGAGCCATAACGTGTTCAAAATATTTTAATTAAAGGCTCTTTTAAATAACTAAATGACAGATTTCCCTACCCTTTCATATACCTCAATTCGTTAATTCCCTACCCTTTTATATGCCCCATTATAGTGAATTCCTTCAAAGGGATGAGAGGGAGGGGGAAATTGTAAATAGTTTTCAGCCAAGACAAAGACAAACTTTGAAAATGTCTGCGAGATCTTTTCTTGCAATTTGACGTCACCTTACTCGTACGAGCGTGACTCATTACAACACCACTTTTATAGTTACAGAGCACATACAGCGGAACTCGGATTTCTCGAACCCTCATCTTTTCGAACCTCCCGTAAACGCGAACCAAAAGTCGTTTCCCCTCCTCAGTCGAACACTTTAATTTTACCCCCGATTTCTCGAACTATCCGATTTTCCGAACCAATTTTCGTTTCCCTTGGAGGTTCGAAAAATCGGGATTCCACTTTATATAGTAATTTTAGCAAAACTAGACAATGTGTGTTAGTTTTACATTAATGAAAATGTGGTTTGGGTTTTGACGTTTCGAAGTCATTTTCATGATAGCGCAACTTAAAGCAGTGGCGTGATTTTTGTATACTTTTCCTTATATTTCGGTAATGACGTCACGCAGGGATCCTTCGTCGTTTTGACCAGCAAAATTCTTGACTTTTTCAATACCTTCAGAACGACCTTTTACAACAAATTATGTTTGTTTTTTTTTTCAAGACTTAAACAAGATGCACTTCTATTATCTAATGCACTGGCTGGAGTTTGAAACAGAAAAAATATACTCCAACCCTTTTTCCATTTTTCATATATATATTTTTTATTTTCTACACTTTTTCCAGGTCTGGAAAACTAGTTTGCAGATTTCCATACTCTGTACAAACCTTGGCCAGGTTTTCATTAACATAAAAAATCGTTTATTCCACTTTTCTTGCACGACGTACAATGAATTAAGCAGTGGAAGTTACAGCAACAATAGTGCCATGACAACGGTGTTTCTGCGTACAGGATGTTGTATCCAAATTTGAGGTTGGTAGGACTAACGAGATTTAGTTTCGTTTTTTAACAGTAACATAGCAAATGTTTTTTTAAGTCTGATCTTCTGGTTGAGGGTGGTTCTTAAAAGAACTGTTGTTGGTGAGTGACGTTTCGACAACCGAAGCGGAAGTCATCTTTAGAGCCTTGGGATATGGTGGTAAAATAAGGTAGGTATGACCGAAAAAGGACGTCAGCAGAAAATTCCCTTTGAGTAGAATCAATGTTGCACTCGAGTTAGACGGCAAAAACAGTCGTATTTTTTGCGAACGCGAGCGACGGTCAATATTCGAACGAAAGGTCTGGAGCGAGTGTAAAAACGGCGAGGGAGCCTCAAACGCCCTACGGGCGTGTGAGGCTCGCGCGCTTCACATGCGAGAATCGCGCTTACGGCGCTTCGCGCCTTCCGAAAACGTCCGAAAACGACTGTTTTGCAGTCTACCCTCGAGCATGCTCTCATCTTTGGGTTTCGCGTTCATTTCTCAGGCTTGGCTCGCGGCTTCGCCGTTCCCACAAAACACTAAACAAGGAAGCCAACTCGCAGGCTACGTCCAATGGTCGCAGGCACATAACAAATATTTGTAAATTATATTTATGTAGTCAATACGTGATAGAACTGCACACCGCTACTGTAGGAACGACAAAGCTGCCCTTCCTCCTTCAGTTCCTACTGTTTAGTTAGGATTTCAATAATCTGGCACCCAGGCCTCCCACGGCCAAGCGGAAGGCGTCAAAGTGAGTGAGATCTGAGTAGGAGATTAAGATTTCAGTAGAGGACGAGTCAGGTGTGATACGTAAGGCTGTTACACGAAATAACAATACTATTTTTAATCTTTCTTTCTGATTCTGTAATTCTTCGCATTCACATGTTACGTACAATCTTTATACCATGCCAACACCACGGAATTCTCATTGTGTAAATTTATTAATTGTGTCATTTAGGAAACCTTTTCTAAAGCAGCAAAAGTGTACGGCATACCTTTCTCTGACCTCACTGACGGCGTTTTTTCTTATGATAATCGTAAATATTTTCCGTAAATGGACCATTTCTAGAAACTTAATATACTTTACACCGTGTGTTCTTGTCTCGTTACGGGCTCATCTTGCTTTTTTTCGGGAAATAACAATTCAAAGGCGTCGTGAATTTCAGGAATCATATCCGTAGTCGTCATGTTCCGCCGGTACTTCGCGAACGCCAGTCTGTTGCAGGTTCTTGTAAGTGCGCAGGCGCCATAGGCTGCCACCAAGGATCGACCATAAGCGCATGCCCTGTAAGTGGATGAGAAAGAAGACCGTTGTTACAGAGAAAATGTTCACCATCCGGTGCCTTTATAGTACAGGTATTTTTTTTTTTTTTACTAGAAAGATGA